GTTTTAAATATCATTTCCTTAAATATTATTGGTCTTGTTGTGCAAAATTAATTCTTATTCGGGAAGGCAGTTCAATTTCTGGAGAATTCTAGAAAGCAAATCATTTGTAAACAAATTGAAAAGGTTTTAAAAGGAAGGAACTAGAATCTGGAATTCCTAACATTAAAGAGCTAAAGCCACGAACCATCAATATGTGTCTTTAATTTTAGATAAAATTTTAGTTTAAAATCACAAAGCCTATATCTTATGTTATTTTGTAAAGCACAAGGTCAAATATGGTACGCTACATATAATTTTTTGGCACACAGGCCAACGTCTTAAGCACATGCGCAGTAACATATATACCCATGAAGTTAAAAACTCCCTAAGAACGCCGATTTTACGGTAGTTATTTCAAACTTTGAATGTGGCCACACTCAAGTACCCTTTCCAAACTTTGCAAGCATAAAAATATTACATATATGCACCTTCATGCAAAATATCTTAGAGGTACTCGCGTGTGGCCAATATGAATTTTACATTTTATGAATGTTGAGCTTTCAGACATTAAAGCAAGGTCCTCCATTTAAATAGTAAATACAAGTTCATCATATGCGTAAATACCCTAAAAGGCTTAGGTTTTCAACCGTACGGTTTTCCTCAGGTAAGTTTGGTGTGGGGTGGAGCTTAATCGAAGCCCCTAGGGAACGACGCTGGCTTGTGTATACTACCTATATACACAGGATGTTACCTGAGCCCCTGAGTGTATTACCTGTAAACCGAGGCCGGTTTTTTTTCATGTTTAGCTCATGAAGTGAATGCGAAATAAATCATTTTTTGTTGCAGACAGAATCCTTCTCAATTTCTTTCTTTTGAAATAATTGATATCTTTAATAATTCGACATTTTTTATATACAGTGTGTTTCTTAATGAAGTGTTATAACGAAAATATATTTACTAATTTAGCACAAAAATCTGTCGTTATAATCTGGCGACAAAAAAGGAAGTAATTCAAATTACACGTCGTCTACGCAAAACGAAAGAAGAAAGTGCATCATAAAACAGTCTCTCGATAAATAACAATGAAATATAGAAACGCTGTTTTGAGAATAAAATGTTGAAGTAGAAATATTATTGTCTAAATAAATATCTTTTTAAGATATATCCTACTTGATTTTTCCATAACGCATGGTCGGTAAAAATTGCCAGGGCTTCGGACCGGGGTTGATTCCCCGAAAGCTATGACACGGGAAAAGAATCATCTGCATAGTTTTTTTTCTTTCGAGATTCATTATTGATTTCAAACATTAAATACAAAGCAAGATGTTATATTCCGAGTAATTTCTCTTTTAAAACTTTTTATTAAATCGTAACTTCGTCACCATGTCTCGAAGAAAAGCGACACGCACAGGTTTGTCTTATAAATATAAATTCGCTTGACTCGTGAGCAATGTTACAATGTTGTCAAACTTGTTTTAAAAAATAACTTTATTTAATTCCATGATACTAGCATCAAACGCAGGTCGGTTTATTTTGTTAATTAATGGAGGAATAAATGTACGTTAACTCATGGTTTGACACGGAAATTAAAATTATCGATTGTAATCGTGATATGAATCCCCCCTTTTCAACTTAAATTTATAATATATATTATATAGCCATGATTGTCTTGTTATTTATTTAATTATTTGATAGATTGATTATATCTATGGCATATTCTTATGAATCAAAAAAAAAAAGAAAAGAACGATTTGATTGCTTCTTTATCACGTTGGCATACAGTGCGGTAGGCATCAAAAGCCTGAAAGTTAATTCGATGGTCGGTACGATCTCCAGACAAGGTACACAAGATATACACAACAACAGCAAACTAATGTCAATCAAATCAAAGTATCCAATCCCAGGCTTAATTTCAGATGATTGACAGGGGTTCTAATACCAGGTAAATTTGAAGGAGGTGCTTATTTCCTCCCCCTTAAAGTAGTTATTAGTATATCAAATTTATTCTTGATGATTATATAATCCCTAATTTGTGAATAATTTTGTGATATAATGTCTTAAATTGACTTTTGACATGTGTTATTTTATATTAAAAAAAATCAAAATTACACTTTTTTCATTCATGCTTACGTACATCAATGATGACGTCATAATTTAACATTCATGACATCTTCTGTATCTGAGCGAAATTTTATTTGACTTTTTTCTCAGTAAGCAATTTAAAATAATTTAATAGAAATTAACCACTTTATGATTACATGTGAGAAAATGTAATATATTACGTTACGATTTGCAATTACAAACATACAGATACTCCCACATTTTCTTCATGATGAAACTCATTATAATGGCATGTCAGTCATAAATGTCGACATACAATTTTTTATGTTTAAATGGATATGCACTGAATACTTACCAAGACGTCAATATTTGAGAGCGATTTGACCTTCAACAAGGCGTCTTTGTAGATCACTGTAAAACATAACGTTGAAAAGAATATTTAATAATTATTATTAGACCAAAAAATTGAGGCATACATGTACAAGGCGATTTCAATCCCCAGCTCTGAGAAGACATTTCTTAATTCTAACACTACATGAAAGCAATATTTTTTCAAAAGTATATGGTTTAAATCATCTTTTAAACATTTAGTTCTGTATTTCATTGTATTAATTTTTTCACTCATGTTTTAAAGATATGTAAAAACAAAGAAGGAAAAGCATCACATATGATTCGAACTCTCTCCATAGCACAGGATTTGGCATAGGACCGACCAAGTTAACCACTAGAGTAGGAAGAGAATACGAAGAATATGCATTAACGATGTCTGTCAGTGTGATTCAAATGAGAGGGTTTGTCGAAGCGTACATTTTCCAGTAAAGTTTGATTTTCATATAGAATGGGTTCAGATTCCTTTTTTTTTGACAAATGAAATAGATTTCACATTTGCGTTTCTATCATGTAAGCGTTCACGAAAAATGGAGACTTGACCCATTCATGTTAAAATTCATTTTTATGGCTGTAGTAAACCCATTTTCCACTAAATATCCTTAACTGTCAACTCTGAAAAAAGAGTGTCAAATGATAAGTCGTTCAGTAAAATAGAACAATAAAATGTTTTGAAGATTACATTACCGAGAACATGATTTTAGAAAAATATAACTTTTTCGTGAATTTTGAAAATTGAGAGAAACATATTTTCTCAGAACGCCGTATACGCCCTCTTTCTTTAATTTCATATCCATTTGTGAAGGATAACTGCTGTGTCATTTTAAAAAATACAACAATTTTAAAAACTACAAATTGAATTTTGGTAAAAACCGTTATTCTTGTTATCTACGAACAGATACACTGTATGGACCATACCCATTGAGACTAAAGAGCAGAGAAATATGGATTTTAAGATAATGGTGCCTTTCTTATTGATCATGAGATCATGAGTTCATGTGTTCTCAACGTATTTTTATAATACATTTTATCATTAAAATCCCTTATATGCCAAACAAAATGTACATTGGAAAACAACATCGACATTTTTAATGCAATATCTTATTTTTAAAAATCATTGTAAAAAAACTGAGGAACATGAAATAAAACTTTTTGAAACCATGATTTTCTTTCTTCTTTTTTTAAAATAAAAAAAATGAATTAACATTACTTTTTAGTTTACATCTGAAGGTATCTTTAAAAGTCTTACATTATTACTTGCCTGTGTACCCCACCTTCCTGTGTCCCCTAATACTGAGCTTTCATATCTGTAAAACATCATGTGACAAAGAACCTGTTATAAAACTTATCGCTTCAATAATAAGATAATTCAACAAAATAAGATATGGGTCATCCCAGGTTAAGAATGATTGCACTTAGTGTACAAAACGTGGCCCCTGGCGCAAAAATAAAGTACAGAAAGTAGCCCCATGGGTTTAATAATGCAATTCCTCTATGTCTATGTAACGTTTATTCAGAAATATCAACATAAATCTATCGATGACACCAATTATATTAATAGCAAAAGTTAACACAATATCTTCACCATTTTTATTTTTTTTTAAATAACGATGAATGCACAGAGGTTTCTAAATATAAGAAATTATAAGTTGAGTTGACCTGATCAATGTCTCATATACAGGTAGTCTTTAGTGTCAAAAATTGAATGAATAAGTTTCAAAATAAATACTGGACTCCAATTATTCAAAAACAAATAAACAAATCTAAACTGTCATACAAATACTTAAAAATGAAAACTAAGAATAATAACTATGGTATTTTTGATAGGAATGTCTCTGAGAACTCGATCAGAAAGGTTCTTTCCTATCAGACTCTTTCCTCTTTATATCCTGGGCCATTCTAGATGATGAGTTCATCTTTGAGACTTTATACCTGGAATTTTATCCTTGCCATCCAGTGTAAAGAAGAATAAAAATCCCCAACGAATAATTACCTGGCGTCATTTTTCAACGATAAAAAATGACTCCTAATCGTAGGAAACATTCATTTTAACTGAAAAAGAGGCCCCAATATATAATGTTAGCATTATAAGGATTTTTCACAACGAATCCATAGGAAAATTTTGGAAACAAAAAAATACCATGCATGATACATATCTTTATTCAATGTTCAGTTTGAAGAAACGAAGTAAAAAAAATCGTGTATATAAGAGAGCATCCTCGCAAGTCAGAGGTCCTCAATACGTTGCCGTTGCCGTTTGTCCAACGGTAACGTGTTGACTCAGCACTCCTGACTTTCGAAGATAAAAATAGAGTAGTACTATCATAAAAATAATTAATGGGATTTAACCAATCAAGGTTAAAGCCATTTTGCATAGTGAAATACATGTACCTAATTTTTTATATTTTTATTTTGATCGGGTTCGGTTGACGGTGTATGTTAGCCAACCCGTATAAAATTATTTCTCTCTTTCCCGGGGTTATTAGTGTTACCCTAATAGTACATTTGACGTCACACCACGATGTGTCATCAGTCGAAGCTGAAACTTTCAAAGACGACTACAGATAGACAGAATGCCGAAGCGCAAAGCAAACAGCAATAGTCAGCCCACTCCAAGGAAAGGTCAAAGGAGAGGACGGGGTCCTCGATCGGCGAATGCTGATGCTGCAGCATCGGCTGTCCCCTCATTACTGTTGGATCCTTCAGAACATGACCATTCTCAGCTACAAGTTAGCAGTCTTCCAGCATCTCCGCAACCAGCGGTGTTGACAGCAGACCAACTGAGACAGGTCACTGAAAGCGTAGCAGCTTTGATAAAGGAATCACAGGGAGGTATAGTAGAACCAGCATCCTCCCCTATTTTCGATGAAACGTCAGGTGATACAATTATTTCTAGTGCATGTAGGGCAGCTGTGCCCAGCTACGACAATGAGTTAGGTCATAACGTCCCAAACAATGTAAAAATAAAGATTATCAATGGGGAGTACATAAATTTAGGTAAACTGCTTAATAATGTTCCAGAAACTGACCCCAATGATGACACCAAATATTTTTCTCTAAAAGACGGGAAACTTGCAGTCACGAATAAGCCTAAAGCAAAACCCATTACGGACATACAAGTATGGACTGACGCTTTCCTTATCTTTTCAACGATTTATGCATCCGCTCATCCCCATGCAGCAGTATCTTTGTTAAAATATATGCACACAATACGGTTAGGCGTCATTCGTATTATGGGGTTGGGCTGGCGGGACTATGACATCCAGTTCCGTCGTAAAAAAGAGCGTAATCCTGTATTATCATTTGCAGTAGTTGACCAAGAGTTGTGGTTGCTCTATATGTTTAACAGACCTATGACGCTGCAGACTGAGCAGGGATCAGAACCCAATCCCCCTTCTCTCAAGTGTTATGATTTTAATTATAAAAGCGCATGTCCAAGACAACACTGTCAGTACAGTCACACGTGTATCCTTTGCTCACAGCCAGACCCACACACTAAGCACAAAAATATAACTCGCTCTCCATCAAATCTTGTGTCGGCAAACACGCAGTCAGCATGGTGCTCCTTGCCCTCAGAAACTCAAGCAGCCCCAAATACCTATAACAGACCCGCATCGAGTTCAACCCAGTCTTTTAGACATCAATAGTATAGCCCCCCCCCCCCTTAAAATTGCGAGCCTTGCAAAATGCTCAACAAATTATCCCTCGACACATTTTGCACCTGAATTACTTGGAAGGTTTTCATTTTGGTTTTAAAGCTCTGTTACAACTTACAAGGGCTCTAGACAGTTGACAAGCATACGATTGTGAGAATCCTGAGTCTTTAAGGTACTGTAAAATCACATATTTTCGTGGGGTCAAATTTTCGTGGTTTGAAGAAAAAATGTTGGTTTGTGGGGTTTTGATTTCGTGGATGAAGAAATTTGCATATGAAAATTTACATTTCGAGGTGGACATGAATTCGTGGGTCTCTTCATACCACGAAAACAACGAAAATTAAACCCCCACGAAAATTAGTGATTTCACAGTATATTTTATTGACGAAGCCATTCAGCGAGTTACATGTAATAAAGAAATAACCCTGGGAAGAGTGCCTGTCCCTATTTGACACCCCCCCCCCTGCTTAACCTAAAAATTGTCCCCTCACATACCTGTTTCTGGAAGGGGTAAGTTGGTAAATTTAAGGTCCCTCTCTACATAGGTGCAAACATTTTTTTGACATTGAGAAACTCTCTACATAGGTGCAAACATTTTTAAGGAAATTCATATTGTGTAAAGGAGTTAATATTGAGCGTATTTATTTACTTTTTAATGTATGGTGCATTGCATTTGCCGCCGGGAAAAATGTTCAAAGACAAAACAGTATCAGTGTATAGAAATTACCTTTAATTACTTCAATAGAAAATAAACATGTAAATAACACGTTTAATTAATTTATCGCGGTCCTTTTAAATGTTAAGAATACATGATTTGATTAAAAATTGAGTAATATTTTGTAAAGATTTATTTTTTAGAATTTGGATATAAGGGTGGATTACTCAAATTTTGCGGAAACTGGTAAAGTGACTATTATAGTATGTTCTCAATTCTTACCTCGGCGACATGGGGGGGCATTAATCAGCAAGGTGCATAGGCGTCGAAACCGGGGGGCTAGGGGGGGGGGCTTAGCCCCCCCCCCACTTTTTTTCCAAATATATACTTAGTATAGACATTGAACGTATCTTCGTAGGTTTAGCCCCCCACTTTCCACAGATACGTCTTAGTATAGGTTAAAAATTGGGAAAGTGGTGGTGTTTGGAGAAAAAAATTTTGGTACTGAAGCTTGAACCTACCACTACCCCCCCCCCCCCCCCCCCCCCCCCCCCCCCCCCACGAAATAGGATTTTCATGATTGGGAAATTGACATTTTCCTTTTTTTTTCTTTTGCTTGTCAGGTTTTTTGTGAAGGTACAATTTTTTTTTTACACATAGCCCCCCCACTTTCAATTTGCTTCCGACGCCAATGATATAAATGAAGTTTTCATATAAATGAAGTGTTTGCCTGAAGTATAATCTTTGTTGTATTATGCCTTTTTCTTTTGTTCATTCTTGGGTCACGAAATTATTTAAATTGAATGTGACAAAATTAAAGGTACTTGGACACAAATTTGAAGTCAATATTTTTCTCTATAATATTACGACTTACATATTTTAATAGCATTTCACACAAAAATTAATTAAAAATCTTATTTCATTTAAAAGTTATTAAAACTTAATTTTTGGCGGGTTTGATTGACACATCCTTGCACTTTCACAAATTTTAACCTTATTCTTAATCCTTAGGAAAAGTTGCAATCTTGTTGTGTATTAATGAGAAATATAAAAACTTTTATCCAGATAAATAATTTTATTCAGAGTAGAAGTGTTAGAATGCAAAACTCCTTCACAGGTATCGTCATTCCGAACTAAGAGTTGCGGACAGAGTTTAACTCGTGTTATGTACACAGTTTATTGATGTTTACAATTCACCGGGTGCGTTCAATCGTCACAGTCTGCTTACCACAACTGCACGGACTGACAATATATTGTGTGTTTGTTTTGCTTTCGAACATATCTACTCTGAATTTTTTGGATTATAGTACTGTATTAATATTTTTCATTTATACACAACGAGATTGCAGCTTTTCCTAAGGATTAAGAATAGAATTAATTTGTGAAAGAGCAAGGATGTGTCAATCAAACCCGCCAAAAAAAATTCAAAAAAATTTAATATCTTTTATATGAAATTTAAGGTTTTTAATTAATTTTTGTGTAAAATGCTATTAAAATTAATATATAAGTCGTAATATTATACAGAGAACAATAACTTCAAATCTGTGTCAAAGTACCTTTAAGTATGAGCATTTTATTTTGTAAGAAATAAACTTTTAATGATTATTTGGTTTCGTTCTCTTTATTCTCTTTATTCGCTCAAAACCAGATCACTGGTACAAGAGGTACATATATACATATATACAAGCAAAATATTATTACAGTCAAGGGTCAAGAGATAGACAAGTACATTGAATATAAAGAAACTAGAAAAGAGGGAGAAAAAAATGACTGTAGTCATCTTTATATAAAACACAAGAAGGACAGACAGTTTTAAAAATTTTCTTTATAAATAGTGATAATGATTTTTGTATCTCTACATTATTACTACTCATTAGTTCATTGAATTTGAAAGTGTTATGATTATTACAATATCTGTTTTGGAAAAATATTTTTCTGTCTTTTGAAAATACTTACATTCCATAATATAATGATATTCATCAGCAACAGTTTTAAAATCACAAATGGTACATATTCTTAAATTTCTGTCAATATTATGCCATCTACCCTTTTCAATTGGCAAATTGTGATTACAAGTTCGGAGTTTTGTAAGTGTAACTCTTAAATCTTTTGGTAAATTCATCAGATAATTTTCTAAACCAAAATCTGTTTTAAAAATTCTATAATTGATACACTTGGATGAACTATAAACAATGCTTCTCCATTCTTGTTTGAATTGACATTTTAGGGTATCTTTAATGATTGACTTAAGCCAATTAAAACTAATAAATGATTGACTTGTCCATATATACATAGGACAATCCACAAGAATTAAGTACATCTTGTACACATTTTATCCATGGATGTACAAACGACCCATCACAATAACATCTATAAAAATATGAATCAAATAACATATGAAAGCTTACTTTCGTGAGCTGTTAAAATTTTTGCCCAGTACATAACTATTTTTAATTTTATAAATATAGACAGAGGGTATCTACCTGTTTCTCCATACACCATACAATTCGGAGTACTAGATTAAAGATTAAGAATAAATTTCAAAAATTTCAAGTGTGCTTTTTCTATTATGTCTAAGTTTTCGTATCCCCATACTTCACCTGAATATAGTAAAATTGGGTTGATGACTTTATCAAACAAATCTAACTGACAATTAATTGGTAAATTAAAATATCGAATTTTACGTAAGACTCCATACATTGCTTTTGATGCTTGTTGGGTTAAATGTTTTTTTTGCATTGTTAAACTTTCCACTTCTTGATAGGAATAAACCCAGATAACAGAATTCTTTAACACTTTCAATAGATACACCGTTATATAAAAATTTACGCTTTGTCATTGGACCTTTAGAAAAAATAAGGACTTTTGTTTTGCCTATGTTAACACGGAGTTTCCATACATCACAGTATTCAGTAAAAACATCAAGTGACTTTTGTAAATCAGAAGCAGATTCAGACATTAAGACCGTATCATCGGCATAAAAAAGTATACACAGTTTTAACATAACAAACATATCATCTTGCGTTTGTTGATTAGGACATGTAAAACCATTAATTTGATTTCTTGTTAAATAATCTTCTAGGTCATTAATGAACAATGAAAATAAAAAGGGTGATAAATTTTCCCCTTGTCTAACACCAACATTACACATAAAAAAGTCTGATAACTGATGACCTATTTGTACTTTTGACTTAATACCATTATACATATTTCTAATAAATCTAAAACATATTCCATCAATACCACTTTGTAAAATTTTAGTCCACAGACCATGTCTCCAGACCGTATCAAAGGCTTGCTTAAAATCTATAAAGGCACAAAATAATTTCTTTTTATTATTCAGGGCATATTTACTCAAAAAATCAATTACAAATATATTATCAGTAGTAGAATAACCCTTTCTAAATCCTGTTTGGGATTCATTGATTAGCTCTACTTCATCAGCAAAAGTATTTAAACGGTCACAAAGTATATTAGTAAAAAGTTTTCCTAGACAACTAAGTAAAGTAATTGGTCTGTAATTTTCAGGATGGCTTCTATCACCTTTACCTTTATAAAAAGGTTTCACTAATCCTACTAACCAGTCCTCTGGTATTATGCCACTATCAAAGATAACGTTGAATAATATACAATTATGGACTCTTTTGGTGTTGAATATGGTTTGTTATTCACCAGAAAAATATTCATATTGACCGAGGTGAAGCCGAGGTCAATATGGATATTTTTCTGGTGAATAACAAACCATATTCAACACCAAAAGAGTCCATAAATGTTTTATTATATAGTCCGAATTTGAATAAATAAGACATCGAAGGCTGAATTACGACACCATTTTTCTTAACAAACGTCCGTCGTTGAAAAAAAAAATGCAGATTACAGTTTGTCACCTCCGTGTTTTCGTTTTTGAGTTTCGCCGTGTAAGATGTCGAAATGATTAAAAATAAACCTGCAATAGGTTTTATACTATTCTTCCTGCTCAGATACGTTGCTCGCTGCGGCCGTTGCAGCCATTGTTTACAACGTTGTTTGAGGTGTTGATTGTAACGTCACAATGCCGCTGCACGCGCACTGACCTCCGGTGAATACAGCCTCAAATCCGGTGAATATGTTGTGTTACATGTATGAACTGTTTGCGCTTGTATAGATTATATAGGGAATATAAATAGACTATATAATAATTCTACATACAGCGGCAGAAAGCTTGAAATAGTCGTTTTCATATACTCATTCAAAACATAATCACCCCCTGGCGTTTTATTGGTTTTTAATATATTTACTGCATTCTCTATTTCTTCACCTGTGATAGACTGATTAAGGATACTGTCATTACTTAAGTCTAAGTTAAATTCTATGTCATCATCTGTGACAATACTTTCATTTGTTTTCT